ATTTGACTAATAAGTTACGTTTTAAAGATTGATTTACTAAGCACATTCAAATTAGTATTGTTCTCTTTATAAAAAGAGTTTGCAACAAAAAATAGATTTTAGTAATAAATAAATAAAGGGTCTTCAATTTCAAAAGAAAAAAAAATAGGGAGGAAACGGCTATAAACAGAGTATGACATATTTGTATAAACTATGTAAGTAAATGAATAAGTGATTTTTAATTGCCACTTCTTAATAGGCAATGGGTTAGGCAATGGGTTAGGTAATGGATTTAGTTTTTTAAAATTAGAGGGATTCTAGGTCCATTGCCATCCCATCCAAAGTTATTATTTTGACAAAATCTAACGTAATGAGGTAGAATAATTGAACATAGAGTTTGTATTTTGAAGGAATCTTAAATCCTTATCCATTATTGTAATACATGAATTAAAAAGAATTAATGGCCCTTAAATTTTTTGTGGTACTGCAACTCGAAACAAGAATAATGTATTACCACAAAAGATTGAATGATCATTTTGTATATTTGCGTCTTATCCAGTTTTTCGTCCCTTGTACACGGACGGACTTTATTTAATGTCTGAAAAATATTTGATGAATGAAAAGGAATAAAATGGAGGCAACTAATAGTTGAAGAGAAAGGTAAGATATCACCATTCGGAATCGGAATTATTGGAATGAAGCGAAACAAATGGATTGCAATAAAACGACAAGGTATGCCAGTATGGCATTGTTTTGTAGCAATAATTAATCATTCAAGGTGGTTAGATGGAACAATAATTGTAATGTTTTATTTTTGTGGTTAGATGTTGTCCCCACTTTTTTTTTTTTAATTAATTTTGTCCCACAACATTTGTTTTTGCCTTTTTTTTTTAATGTTTTCATCATGTCCTTTCTATGGTGACAAAAACCATTAAGTGCACATGATCATGACATTGTCCTACATAGCTTTTTTCTTTTTACGAATGAAAAAAAAATTGCAAAAAAAAATTGTTACATATTCACTTTTGATCTAGAATGGTTGATGCTTAAAATGGTTTTATTTCGTTATAAAAAAAAAGGGTTTTATTTTTGGATTTTATATTGATTATTTTCAGACAATTTAATTTGTGCCAATACACATTTTATTTTTATTTTTCAGATTCTATACTAATTATAAGAGCTTTTGTTTTTTCAGTTGGTGATCAACTTTTGTTTTAACTTTTCAAAGTTCTGTTTTTATTTCAATATATAACGATATTTAATACTATTACACTACAAGAAATTGGCTGATTTGCCACGGTTCACAACCCATTGCAAAGCAACCAAAATTTGTGACGGTTTACAAGAAACCGTCTCTAAATGACCAAATATCGGCGACAGTTTTCAAACCGTCGCTAATATTTTATACATTTTTTCTTTTTTTAACTAATTAGCGACAGTTTTTTCCCATACAATCGCCGCTAAAAAAACAAAAATTAGCAACAATCCGGTATACCATCGCTAAGTTATGACCGTTGGAGGGAAACCGTCATATTTGAATTCAAATGAACATGAGCGATGAATTTTAGACCGTCACTAAATCTTTACATCCCTACATACTTGCTGGAATGAATTTTTCCCCAAAATTTTTCCTTTCTCCCTTTTTCTTCTTCTTCCCAACTAACAAAAACTCACTCGCATTTCCTTCAAATCTTCCTCTCCCTTATTTTCCTGCAAATGTCCCTCTCAATCTCTTCCTTTCTCTTATTTTTCTCTTCCCCTCCATCTATCCCCCATCATTCCTCTCTTTCCTTTTTCTTTCTCCCCCTTTCCTCCACCTCCCTCTTTCCGATGACACCACCAGTAGCAGCTCCTCCACGACGAAGTATCTCCACCTCCTTGTTGGTGAACAAGTTTATTCATTTTATTTATTTATTGGAATTATTTAATTTTGTGTTATTTTTTAATTATGAGTTATTATTGTTAATTGATGGTTAATGTTGTTGTTTATTATTTATTAATTGGTTAATGTTATTCTTGTTGTTAATTATTGTGTTATTGTTGTTAATGTTATGAAATAATGAATGTTCATCATCATATTTATCCACTTTTCATATCCTCATTACTCATGATTCTTAATATAATTCAATTCATCATTCAATATGAGAAATTGAAAGGGTGATGCAATTAATTATTCATAGTTCCTTCTAATTCTCTCCTCAATTTTGAAGCCTATAAATAGGCTTAATTGTTCATTAGTTGATGTACAACTTTCTTAGAGAGAATAAGAGAAACTTTGAAGTTCTTATCACTTATATTCACATTATAGTGATTTCATTTTCTTATCATCCTTTTTTCAATTCTCCTATTATTTCTATTTATTTTATAACACGTTATCGGCACGAAGCTCTAACCAATCGAGACAATAGACCATGAGGTATGTATCTATCAAAAGATTTAATCAATTATTTTAACAATTAAATTTCTTCTACACAAGTGCTCTACCAAAAGATCTAAATTATTTAGATCATTAAGAGGTTTGTATCTAATTCATTCATGTACTTTAAATCTATTGATAGATGAAATATATATTTGAAAAACTTAAATGATCTACTAATGATCTAATATATGTTATTTGAAAAGCTTTAATTTTATTATTATATTTGTTCTTATTTTCTAATATTATTATTATATATTGTATTATGGAATTTTTATCATATCAAACCTTATAAACTTGATTTGGTGACTCTTGATATTTTGAATAAGAATTATTGATTATGAGTGCTTGATTTTAGAAAAATATTCTCTACTTTTTATGTCTTGGATAAGCTCCTACGGTAGCATATCGAGAAAAAAGAGTTTAAGAAATATTTTGGATCGATTTTATACTTGTTACTAGCTAAATAAAATGAAAAAAGAATAAATCTCATCCAATTGGATCTACTCCATTCCCCGAAGTGAATGTGACAATTTATAATAATTTTAAACATGGACGAAGATGTGGTCATAGCCATGGATATAGTCGAAATAATTATCATTATAATCGTAATGACCATAATATTACATCTCACCACCGGAAATGGATAACTATGAAAAAAAAATAAAGTCAATATTCTGAAAAATAAACATTATAGATATGGAATGAATGAATATTGATCATGTACTTGTCGTATACCAAAGCACCTCATTGAGGCTTGTCAAGCCTTATTGAAAAATAAAGAGTAAAATATGAAGGCCACTTTTATATATCAAAATAATAGTAATTGAAATTAATTACTTGTTAGTTTTTCTATTTATAAATAAAATGTTTTATATTTCTTATAATTTATGTTGTATATTGATGGTTACAAATTTATTTTACTATTTATTTATTTGTTTGTGTTTATGAGGAATATATTAATTTATTTATTTTGTATTGATTTATTTGATTATTTATTTTATGTTAATATTACATATGATAATATTAATCTAATAGAAAGCTCTAGAAGAGGGACTATATTATTATCTAAAGAGATAGATTTTGAAGGCTCTAGAAGAGCAATTATATCATGATTTGAAGAGATAAATTTTTAAAGCTCTAGAAGAGTGAATAAATTATTACTTGAAGAGAAAATGTTTAAAGGCTCTAGAACAACAAATATGTTATTATCTCGAAAGGATAAATTTATTATGAATGATGTATTATTATCTTCAAAGTCTCATAGAAATTTATTGAGTTTCAAAGATATTCATCCGAATTGATATCATATCAAGATAACAAATGTGAATACTTATATGTTATAATCATTTTATCGGGTAGAAAATATCTATCAAAAAATTTATCTGTTTTCTCTTCTAGTCTTTATTATAAACATTGAAATGATTGAAACATATATTTTAGTAAATGTTGTCCCCTCTTTTTTTTTTTTAATTAATTTTGTCCCACAACATTTGTTTTTGCCTTTTTTTTTTTTTAATGTTTTCATCATGTCCTTTCTATGGTGACAAAAGTCATTAAGTATACATGATCATGACATTGTCCTACATAGCCTTTTTTTTTTTTAATAAAAATAAAAAAGAAATTGAAAAAAAAAAGTTGTGCACGAGAAAGTTTTTTTGTTACATATTCACTTTTCGATCTAGCATGGTTTTGTTTCGTTATAAAAAAAAAAGGGTTTTTTTTTTCGTTATAAAAAAAACGGTTTAATTTTTGGATTTTATATTATTATTTTCACACAATTTAATTTGTGCCAATAGACATTTCAACTTTTTATTTTTATTTTTCAGATTCGGTACTAATTATAGGAGCTTTCTTTACAATAACGAGGGTATTTCGTTTGTCACACTATTGTGTTTTGTACTTGCCCTAATTGATCCTGGAGTGAATCGTTGGATGATGGGAGTGCTGGTGGTTGATTTATTGGATAATATTTTAAGTTGGTTATTGCTTGAAAATATTTTACAATATTTATGAGTTGAAAATACCTTTTTAATAAACCAATCAATTTTATAAATTGATTTTAATTAAAATATTTGAAGTCAATCAATTTACTTGTAAAATATTTTACACAACAATATTTTCAACAAATGATTCGCGCCATGAGACTGGAATAATGATTCATGGAAGGCGATATAATATTATTTTACTATATAGAAACATAATCATTTTTCTCTCACAATTGATTGGTCATATTCCTTTTCTTTTGTTTCTATTTTTTTTCCTTTTTTTTTTCTTTCTTTCTTTCTTTTTTTTTTTTTTTTTTTTTTTTTTTTTTGACGATTAGCATTCTGTATCAATCTCAAAGGATAAATCATATTAATCTAATAATATCTGCTGTGAAAAACATATATAGCTAGGGATTATAAAAGCAACTAATACTTTGAAAGGTAAAATTTGACTAAATAACTTATTACTTTGATTGATGATACTTTTATTTCCTGGAAAATTGATTGGTTAATTTTATTTTTTAAAAAAAAGGTGACGAAATTTGAAAATAAAAATGCATGATGAAAAAAATAAATTAGAATTGAGAACTCACTGAGTAGAAATTTTTAGACGACATTCAAATACCATTTTCATCAATAAGACAACAATGATTTGCCATATAGGGAGGCCAGTAGAGGTGAAACTCAATCTTGTAAACAATACTGGGGTTCTCGAAAGTCACTAGGGATGGTGTTATATAGCCTTGTACAAACATGAAATCACCTGTGCCTCCTACAACAGGAAGATCATTAACCTCGATGTTGTGAGCTGTTCCAAGAATGGAGATTGATCCCTTGCAGTGTTCCATGTCTAAAGTGATCTTCTCAACAACAATGTTGGCGAGTCCATCAAGCCTCGATGTTATGGAAGCTCCTTCTGCAACCCCGACTACTTTTGAAGACGAGTTAGGGGTAACAGTCAAGAGATCTTGGTTAACAAACAAGGAACCAAAAGGTGATGTGGATGGACTAATATCTGGTCCTGTCACACCCTTCACTATGAGATACACTGTTTTATTTATGGTTTCTTGTTGGTAGAGAGTAAAGCGGAGGGATTTGAGTCCATGGTAGTTATGGGTGGAGGTGGAGGTACCCGTAAATGAAAGAGCTAAAAGTAAAATAGCAAGAACGTAAAGGTGTAGAGGTTGAGCCATTGACTGTGTCTAGAGACTCTAGACAACGTTCTAAACAAAAGAATAATTTGCTTCATACAGCTGCAAGTGCATAACACATCTTATAGAAATAACCTCTGTTATAAAAAAGTCTCAAGAAAGGGGAAGGACCACTTTACAAAAAATATGGCATCTACTATATTCAATTATCAGATAACTTAATCATATACAATTCTATGGATTCAAGAGATTAGTATTTGAATAAACTTTCGATAAAGCATAGACAAGGTCCACAAGGAACTGAACGAGCCCAGAACAAACAAATTGTAGTCATGATGAGGATTGAGGAATCAAAACAATATAAAATAACAAATACACAAGCCACCGTGGGGACTAAATGATGTTGTTACCACCAAGTGCTTCCGAATCATGATACCAATAATTGGCGATTGCTGAAGCCTCAGTAACAAATCACAACCTAGATACTTTTATAAGCATTTATTGTTTCTTAATCATAATCAAGGAAAAGTCCTAAGAAGGTACAAGTGAGTCATTTAAGAAAAATAATCCCAAAATATCATCTAATAGAAGTCTCAAACAGTGTATAAGTGCTTTCATAAGATACTAAATGCCAATATCTAAGAAATGAGCATAATTAGTTAATCAATTTGCATACATATTGTCATCACAATAGATGTGATGGAGACGAGTTTCCATGAGCACTACAAAAATAGAATAATAGAATGAACTAGTTGGAAATAGGTAAAAGATGAAGAATCATTCTTGAACATGAGGTCGGTAGCACTACAACAAAATAAGGGTATAGAGGCAATATTCTTGAGGTGGTTTACAGAACCACCTCAAAGTTTGTTCACATATTAAGTATATTGAAAACATATGGAAAACCGCCTCAAATTTTAAAAAGAGGTGCCAATTTTATTTCTAATATTTTTTATTATTTTTTTTCGAAACAGGGAACGACTCTTCATCTTCTCTCTAATTTTAATCAGGGTTTTTAGCTTCTTATTCTTCCGCTTAATCATTCTCCATGATCTCGCTTCTTCCTTCTTCTCATATGCTTCTTCATTTATAATTTTTTTTTCTGAGAGAGAGAAGATTTGAAGCTTCATTATCGCCTTCATCACCTCCGATTCTTCTCCTCTCCTTCTTTGTTTTTATTTATTTATTTATTTATTTATTTTGGGTTTTGAAAGGGAGAAGAGATGGTTCATATACCTCTCCTATTAGGGTTTTCTTTCTTCTTCTCCTCTATTTCTTTCTTCTACTTCATCCTTCTTTTCCTTTGCCCTATCCTTCTCTCCTTCTTATTAGAAACTACATTATACCCACCTATCAATAATTTTAAGAGTCTTTCCTATCCATAAATTGGCTTATTTCAAATCAATTGGGTACTCGATTATTGATTTTCCCGTTGATCTCTCTAATGTAAGTGTGCTAAATTAATTTTATGGCCAATGAATTAGATCATGTTTAAATTTTTTTTTTTTTACTCTTTTCTTTTCTAATTACCTATAATTTTTTATTTTTAATGAGTATTTTATGGCCACGAGAATCATAATTCCCTTGTTTGTCATATTTGGTGTTGTAGGCATGTGTTCTGTACAAGGCTTGGTTTGTGCTAGGATTGGTTTCACTTGATGGTGCCATGCTCTTGATATTGATCGGCTTGAAGATCCTATAGAAGTCACTGTTTGTGTTAGAGAAACTCGGTATATCTCTAAATATGATTAGAACTTTGTTAGTCAAGCATCTTATGTTTCTTTTAAAACCACCACAATTTTTAACATTTTGACCTTTTATACTATTATAACGCTCGCAATTTTCTTTTAGTTTGTATCAATATAGGAATGTATGGCTGTAGTGGTTAGATTGTTACGGACTTCATTTGCAAATAGCTAAAAGATGTTTGAAAGATTTCCCATAGAAATAGGGAGAGGGGTGGAATAACCTTTAGGCTTACACTAAAATTTGACATAATGTTAAAATAAACACACTATCTAGGCTTGTTTATACATGAACTTTTGTTTTGAATTTGTTTTGAATTTGTTCAGTATATACAATGTTGTCCTTATTTTTTTACTTTTGATAAGTCAAACACACTCGCTTGCTTACATATTTTGGAGAAACAAACTTAAGCACGGATTCGTCCTAGTCCTTTAGGCTCGTTGGAGTGAAAACTACTGCAATTTTTCAAGGGAAAAAGAAAGTCTCCAAAAAGTTTAGATATGTTTGAAAGATTTCCCATAGAAATAGGGAGAGAGATGGAATAACCGTTAGGCTTACACTAAAATCCGACACAATGTTAAAACGGACACACTTATCTAGGTTTGTTTATACATAAACTTTTCTTGTGAATTTGTTTTGAATTCATCAAGTATATATAATGTAGTCCTTCTTTTCTTCTTTTGATAAGCTAGACACATTGCTTGCTTACATATTTTGGAGAACTAAACTTAAGCACGGATTCCTCTTAGTCCTTTAGGCTCTTGGAGTGAAAACTATCGCAATTTTTCAAGGGAAAAAGAAAGTCTCCAAAAAGCTTAACAAAGTGATATATTTGGAAAGAGATGGAGGAATGGAAGTCAATTCCTTCCAATACTTGCTTAGTTCCTAGTTTTAAACAACTAGTTGGGGTTTTTATCCCATTGGATTCCCATCACATTTGCTACAATAACATGCCATTTTAAATAATGCTCATATGCATGTTCCTAAATAGATAATGAGTACAAAATGTTAGTTTATTTTTTTATTTTTTATTTTTTTCAAAAAATGCATGTTACACCATACGTTCTTTCATCAATTTCCATTGTGGAATGACTAGAAAAAGAAGCATAATGCAATAGAAACTTTATCATTTTGGAAAAACAGGCGGGTTCTACTTCATTACAATGTCAATTTTCATAACGTAATGGCTAAAGAAATCATAATGCATGTATAGTTATATGTAAAATATATATAATAGGATAAAATTCATGACTTGATATTTTTTTTTTTTTATGGAGTCTGTATCATTGTCTTGATGACTAATCAATCATTCATTCCTTCTTAGAGTTCTGGTACCATATAGGTGTATTGACTTATCCAATAATTAATTGTCATTATTTTGATGGAATGGTTAGTCATGAACTAATTTTGGTGAGGCTCTTGGTTTTAAATTTGTGGTATCTTCACCCAACCTAAATCAATTTTGAAAATGAAAAATCCTAGCTATTCATAGCTAGATTAATATCTTATAATTAAAAAACATATTCTTGCAAACTCTCTTTGGACTTGCATCTTGAATAATTAATAAAAATTGTTGCTATTATTTATAGTTTGTATATTCTTTTATTTGTAGATTGGAATTCGAGCATAGAGAATAGTGGAAACATTAGAGAAGATTAACTTTTAAAAGCTGGTGTGGTGAGTAATATTACATATTTTTTTGCTTTTTGATATAACGTAGTGGATAAATTTATTTTTTCTTGTAAAAAATAAAACTAAATTTTTTTAGATTTTTTATGTTGGTTCAACTGAGTTGATTGGAGCATAGTTATTGGCTAATTTAGATGACTACTTCAAGGTAAATTTCTTAACACAACTTAGACAATAAACTTATTGCATCTCACTTGCATTTGTGCTTGAAAGGAGATAGGATTGTTTGCAATCAAATGATTATTGATATTTGAGACTACACAAGTGTCAAGCTGCTAAATGTGTTTATAAGCACTTTATGATATAATTTATTTATGAGCTATTTTTTTAATTGAAAAAATAGTATTCTTTTAGGAATTCTATAATATTTATGAAATGGATAAAAGTTGAATGAACAAGGCTTAAGCCGATAATGAATATAAAAAAGGAGTTGTGGAATTTCTTGAATTAGCATTGAGGAATTTCTTGAACTAGCATTTCATAATACATCTTATGGTGAAAGAATTTTTTATCCTTGCATTTGAAGTGGTAATTCTTCGTTACAAACATATGAAGATGTTAGAGTTCACTTAATTTGTGATGGCTTTTTAAGGGGGTATACTTGGTGGGTTTTTCATGGAGAGAGTTCTTCATTTAATAACATTAGATCATCTTCTTATATTCATACCTCACATGTACGAGGAGTGAGCTCTATTCAAGAACCAACTTCTATTGAGGTGAATCCACAATGATCGGATGATATGGTGGGGTTGTTATGTGATGTTTTTAGTGTCGTAAGTCAATGTGATAATGAAATGACAATGCATATAGATAGAATGAGTTAATATGAATGCGATAAAAGTCATGATGAACAAATGAATATGAAATGAATGAGCAATGTCAAAGGTTGGATGTAGAGCAATATAATAAACAATCCACCCATGAGTCAAATATGTTTAATGATTTATTGAAAAATATGAATGAATAGTTATATCCTGGATGTAAGTCATTTCGAGGTTAGCTTTTATATTACATTTATATCATTTAAAATGTTTGAATGGCTCGGATCGAGAAATCATTTACTATGCTATTGGAGTTATTGGCTATTGCATTTCCTAAAGGTATATTATTGCCTAAATCATTTTATGAGGCAAAAAAAATCATTAAAGCTTTAGGTCTTGATTATGAGAAGATAAAAGCTTGTTCAAATGATTGTATGTTATTTTGGAGTGATAAAAAAGATCTTAAACTATGTGATAAATGTGGTACTCCTTGATGGCAAAAAAGGGTAAAACAACATAAAAGGTATTAATGGTCTGATGGAAAATTTAGGTGTTTGAAAGACAATACTTGGTAAAAGTGTTATATTACTTTCCATTGATACCTCATTTACAAATGTTATTTTGTTAAAAAAAAAAAGCTGCTAGGGATATGAGATGGCATAAGGAAGGTCGTAAGAAAGAAGAATTATTAAGGCATCCTACGGATAAAGAAGCATGGAAAAATTTTGATGCTCGATATCCAGGTTTTGCTTCGAATTTTCGTAATGTAAGGCTTGCACTTACTAGTGATGGTTTTAATCCTTTTAGAAAAATGACCACTACATATAGTTCGGGGCCTATTGTATT